GTTTTAAATTAAATTTTTTATTGTAACACAACGAAGTTGAGGTAAAGCTTATGTGCTCGTGTTTCCGTCTGTCCGTCCGTCCATCCATCCGTTCCATCGAGATCTCGGCCCCTGGGCAACCTAGAGATTTCGGGGTTTCGCTAATTGATAGCCGTTATGGTCTATATTTGCCCATTTCGATCAGTTTCGTATTTTCCATATTTTGCGCAGACTGCGCAACGCCAACTTTCATATTTATGGAGATATTTCTTTGAGATTTTAACCACAGACGCTTCTAGTTCCGACTCACTTTAGCTGGACACAATTTTATTATGTAGGAGGCTAAGCGGGATATCTCGTTTATCCCAATCATAAAATGCTTAATTACAACAAATCTAAATTAGATAAATGTGTGGTTACAATGTAAATATGCCTGAATAAGTAGGTGCATATTATCACAGATTTATAGTATATGTGATATTATATTTGAAGATTTGCTAAAGTATCGTGGATACGTGAAACTAAAAGTTTTCAGAAATTATGCTAAGAAAAAAGACGCTTTTGCAATTATTAATTTAATCCAAAAATCTGGAAAATGTATTGGTTAGCGCTGGTTAAAAAAAAGCAATGGGAATATTGTGTACAACTTTCAAATTATTTCTTTCATTGTAACGTCCTGACTGTAATAGAATCTCCCTCGTCTTGAATGACGCCCACTTACAAATGTAATTTTATCCCAATGATAGTGAGGAGTGTTCAGTAGGTCATGTTTATGTCTCTCGTGTTTAGACAATAATCACTCTTTGTATTTATGATATGATTCGAACTCGTACGAAGACGGCTTCGGATGAATCAGTTACGTTCTTAACTTTGAAAGCCCCCTATAAATATTTTTATGGAACTACTTAAACGCGAAACAACTCTTGCATATACGCTGGCTATCTAGTGTTACAGGACTGTTATTTCCAATGCGTAAATCGGAATTACGTTAACAATACGTAAATTTTCAACTGCAGGGTGGTGCGCTCTTATCTTCAGTATTGAATAATCGAATAATTGAAAAAAAAAACATTTATTTCTGCAGGAATGGGGGACTTATGTTCATCAAAGCTTTACATGACTTTTGAGTCTCGTGACCTCGCTCCTCGTACAGAGGAACAGAAGGACTAACGGGCGGACTGACACACGCTCCTCATCGAAAACTTTATTTTTTGAAAAGTGCGCTAAAAATTCTTTTCCATCAACTTCGCTTTATAGACTAACAATGGAACCATTTACTATTATTGTGATGAAAATTGCAAGGTGCTTTTGTAAGAATAGCACCCCTAATCCCTTTCCCTATTATGTAATTTGGGGTGGCGTGCAGACATCAAACAAATCAACGCGCGTTAACGGAATGTTACCGAGTACTTCCTGGCGAAATTGTTAAGACCTACCCCTACATTTCCATCGTCAATAGGATGAAAAAATCAGGTTGTAAAATCGACAAAAAGCACGGGACGAAGTTGCCAAAATAGCGAAATATCGTTTCATTTACTTCGAATTTAAAGGGAGGGGTGATTGTAAAACTTCTTTATATCTTAGTACGAATGAACGTGCAAACGAAGAATTGAAGATATGACATCTGTACCTAAAGTATATGAAACACAATTATTGATTGCGAAGACGTAGGACTCTCCACGAGACCTGCATGCTTCGTATTTATTACAAATGAGTACCTATTTATCTTTCCTTGTTTCAATCGATTCCAAAAAATTAATTTACGTCTTCTTTGTAAAATCGATGTCATGGCCGTAAGAGGTTACGGCCTAACAGATTGCCTCAAATTATTAAAATATGGGTTCGCTCACAAAAAAAAAGGTCTAAATAATTCTACCCCAAAGCTACACTTCGAACTACTCGTTTGTAAATCGCACCCAATTTGTATTGTCCCCCTTACAATCTAATCCGAACGTGATATAAAATGCAAAAATATTTCAGTCATTTCTCAGATGTGTCGTCAACAAAATTTTTGTTCGTTTGCACATATTTTTATTTCGCAAGAATTGAGTTTAATATCATTTCTAAGATTACAAGTTATCAATACGGCCTCTCTATTTTGTGCGTTAAATTGAGGATAAGAATCGTGCTTTCCTTTCGGTTTTTATCTTTCAGAGGTAGCCAAGGTGAACAGAAAATACCGGGTGGCGACACAGGATATGATTTATAATGCTAAGTCCGTGGTGGTCACATATTCCTTTCCCTTTATACAATTTAAACCATATCAGCCACTTCTCACCGCCTCCCCCCTCATTCAGTACCTCACTCCTATTTCTCCCTGCCATTTCCACCTTCGTACACTGCTATAATGTCAAGTGTTCTATGTTCTCTATTTTCCGCATATTTTCTTTTTCTTCTTTCTTCATCTTGGCCCATTTCTCTTTCTCTCTCTCTTCATTGCCGCATCTGAATCTCGCTATTGTTTTATAATTTTTTCTTCCTTCCCACAAAGTAATACGCATTTTGGTAACCACCCCCTATGAGATCTTTATAACTATTACTTCCACGTGTGCTCTCTATCTTTTCCCTCTGTTGTTGTACATATTTGTGAATCCAGATCCCTTCTTGCAAGCTCATTTTCCATCTTTCCCCTTTTGACCTCTGTCCGTTCGCATTCATTTTTTTTTCATATTTTCCTCTTTATTTTTTCCACATTCCTTATACGTTCATCCTATTGTCAAGCATTCTTTTACCATTTCGCTTTCTCTATCGCCCCTTGCCTCAAATCTTACCGCCCTGCGCCCCGCCCCCGACGCTATCCTTATCTTTTCCGTTGTTTCTTCCTCTCATATACATTTGGAGTCCTTCCGTTTAACCCTAATACCCATTTTTATAGTGTATTCCTTATATTTCCTGCAGTTCCTCCCATTCCTTCGACCCCCATATCTCCGGAGCCCTCTTCTCACCTTTCTCACTTTCTTGTTTTGAAAATCATTCTTAAACCGCCTCTCTCCAATTCTCCACATCTGTCTGATCGCCACATCTCTTTTTTCCTTAATTCTCTTATTTGCACATTCGTCCCATGGTTTCTTTGCATTTGGTACCCTAAATGTTTAATTTCTTTTAGCACTTCTATTCTTTACTCCATTTCCTGCCCTCCCAAATCTCATCCTCTTGGACTTTTCTACATTTAGCTCCATCCCTTTCCTTTCCTATTCCTTTATAATCTTCCTATCATTTTTATTATCTGTTGCCATGATGACTGTATCGTCAGCGGCTCCGTATCCCTAGTTATTGCCTCGGTTATTGCAGAGATAAAGTGTACTTAGATTTTTTGGAAAGGAAACAAGTACGAAGTCATCCTCTTCCAATATTCTTAGTTCTTGAATTGGAAAAAACGGGGGAAAATCGATATTTTCTTTTCATCCATATTGCAATGTTTGAAGAATGTGCTCTTTTCCATGTACCGTGTATCCTATTTTGGTTGAGACTGCGTTGTATCTCAGCTATTTCTAAAGACAGAAATTTGCGGCATTTTTTCGTGAAACTTTTGGTACAGAATCAAGCTAGCTACGTTTGATTCTGAGATACAGCAACGTATCGTATCTTATTACCAATGTAAGACAGAAAAAAAGGTCAGAACTGCCCATTCTAGATATTATTACGTAGCAAAAATAAGTATATCTCATCGTTAATTTTTGTGCATTCTTTAACCTGATGATATGTTTCACAAGCTATATGTATATTTTTTATTTTAGCCATGAACCAAAAATTATAACCTTATTTCTTACGGTTTTTAAATAGTAGGCGATGGACTCATAGAGATTTTTTTTTTAAATTCTGTGCATGTGCATGGCAGCCGATACCAATAAATAGAAATGGCTGGAGTTTTTTCAAAATTTTGAATAAAATGATATATGATATATAATTATGTAAAAAATATGTTGTGATACATAAATGTAATCTGGAAAATGTTTTTTTATAAAATTGAATTGAATTTTGTGAGTTCAAAAAAAATAACGACAGGTACTTCCGGATTCATACAAATTTTGAGGAATAACATCAGCATCAAGCTTTCTTTCCTGTCGCACAAAAATGCAATAGCTTTATCATGCAATAACACAAGCTTAAAAAAAACGGGTACTAGTGGCATTTTTTTAAATAACAAATATCATAAGTGAAATTTCCAAAAAGCGCAAACTTGAATAAAACTAATAAGAAAATTCTTCTTGTTGATAATTGACAAGACCATTTGACCAGATCAAAGAAAGACATTGCCAAATTAACAAAAGTGAGCAATGCGAGGATGCAAGGGTAAATTTTATAAGGAGTATCTTCCATCAAATACTCACGATGAAAATCAACGGGTTTTTTGCAGTTTTGCTCTAACAAATTTGGCAGTATGTTTTGCAGGGCACTAATCTCTTCGTATGTCCAGCTATTTCCCTTACCAAAGGCTCTACGATGATTGTCTCATTTTAATTTGAAATAGGCCGGCTTAGGGACACTGTCAACTTTATGACTTGCATGTTATAGCTGAAAATGGTTTGTATGTAAATAACGAGTTTGCTACACTGGCATCATCCTGTGGATATTTCTCCTCGGGTAAAGAGAACAAGGGTGGAGAAATGTAATTGTTCGCGTTCTTTGTTGAAACTAGCCGCTTTTAAATGTTAGGACTGGTGTGAGCCTTCTACAGATTTAGATAGATGTAAAATCTAATGTTTTTTTCTATCAAGTGTCTATTGCTTGAGGGGGTTAATGTTTGCTATGCTTTCATTTATGTGAGTTCTTTTAGAGCAAGTTTGTGTTTGTTCGAAAGTGAACGAAGGAATTATACAAACATGTCCGTTAACGCGAAGTTTTTAATCTTAGAAATTCTCCACCAAGCGTAAGGGTGGCTGCTGAACTATTCGTTTGCAAGCGTAAATTAGAAAAAAAGGAAAGCTTTCCATTGAATAAAGATGAAAACTGTTCACGTAATAATCCAAAGGTCATCTTTGGCGAACCTTACAATAATACGTACGTGTTGCGTCACCTTTAATAACAAATTGTTAACGTTAAATAAACTCGATTGACAACACCTGTGCAATTTGAATTGATTTTGATCATTTTAAATCAATCGTCAGTTTATTTCCTGCACTGTTATTGAACGCGTATACTGTAAACGCATCTATTTTTAGTGAGTTTTTTGTGCTAATTTTGAATGAGGACACGAGTGAATTTATCTTATCTTACCGCACTGAACTTAGGTATGTTTATTGTATTTAGTTTAGTCAGTAGCGTGTATACGCTATTTTTTCACTCCGCTATAATAATAGACGTTGAAAATAAAAGATGTTTGCAACACACTTACTAAGTAGGTACGTACTATTGTCTATGCTATGCCATTTCTTAGGTGCACCTGTACACGGCTCGATTTTTGGAAAAAATACGCTATTATATTCGTTATGACTGGCTGGCCGGCTGTCCGGGTGAGATCTCAGCAACTACAATAGCTAGAGACTTCAAATTTTCACTAAAAGCTTTCTGCTATAGTGTAGATGTACAGCTCTAGTCTATTTTGAGTTAGATCACTTGTGAGATCGATAATTGAAGAAAATAATTTCGATATGGTTTTCGGAGGTGCTATAATTTTACCCTTAGATAGCGCTACCAGTATAAAAACATAATTAATTACTTTGTGATTTGTTTTACAAAATAAAGACGTACCCTCAATTGAAATTAAATAAAATTAATTATTTAACGCAGCCAAAATTACTCGTGAGATCGATAATTTTAAACTTCGCTAATAAAATTGACTTGTATAACCAAAAATGCGCTTTAATCATGCATATGCTGATTTACAACTTGTTTTATTTTATATGAATTAGCCTGCATTTACTCTAGTCAGCAGTTTTCTCAAGTTTTCTTGTCTTATATCAAATTTAACTCTCACATACATAGAGGTAGTGTTCAATACAATTGTCTTCATGGAAGTTAACTGTTACTTTAATTTAAGAATTTATCTGATGGATAACTTTCTTAGACGATGAGTTGGTAACATTTGAGTCCTTGGAAATTATCTGTCAGATAAATTTTAGTATAGAATTGAGATGTAGTGGAGTCCTTTTGTGTTAAAAAATCATGTAATCGAGGAGAACAAATTGCAAAAGAATTGATCTAAGCGGTTTCTGGTTAAAAAAAATGTGCTGATCACGATGGAATAAAGTTTACCAGTGTTTGATGCTCGGAAATTATTTAACCGGAAATGACAACCCGGAAATAAATGGTTTTTTGGCTCATAACTAAGTCAGAATTGCTTTTACAAAAATATATATAACACATTTTTTTGGAGCAATTATCTTACTTCCGGTTAAGGCACTTCCGGGCGTCAAACATTGGTCAACTTTATTCCATTCCATCGTTTTTCATTCTGAAACCGCTTAAATCAATTCTTTTGCCATTTGTTCTCGATCAAACTACAGAATGATTCCACTAATGACAATTGACATGATTGTTACAACAGTCTTAAAGCTATCTTTTATCCAAGCTCAGTTTAAATTTGACGGTGTTAAAAGGGAAAAGTTAAAAAATAATAATAAATGCACCTATAACCTCTCTTTCACCTTCTGTCTAACATCTGTTTCATGCCTTCAACTGAGGCTGACGTAAACTAAGCGAAAACTCGAAAATTTAGTTATAGTTCTATTAGCACCGATGGTAGTTATACTTATACCTCGGTGGTGGATGAAGTTTGTTTTCGTTTAGTGACGTAAAATAATCAGTCTAAAAATGAGGTACCAAGTTCATATTGCACCTCAAAACTCGTTTTTTTGTTGGTAATCCTGAATGTACCCGCAATAGCTATGCGAGCTATATTTTTAAAACCGCACTTCGTCCGTCTGTCAGTCTGTACCACTACTATTCCTTCAGTTTAAATGACCACATTTTTAATTTGTTATTTACTAGAAGCATACCTATGTGGTTATACTGTTAAAGAAATATCTCAATAACTAAGAAAGTTGAAAATGCGCTAAAAATTGGGAATGTAATAATGTAGTAAAAGTATTTCCTAAATTTAGTATAGATCTGATATGCGTTCGTTATGAATACTATAATCTTTTTTTCTTTTTTTTTTATATACCTATAATGCGCCTTACGTTTAGCTTTATTAGTAATTGACCTGTAATTGGATGTATTTATATCTGTCGGTCAATAAACATTATTATTATTATTATTGTCGGTGTTTCTTGTGAGAACTCAGGTCTAGCCTGGTTAACTAATCGCACGGATTAAAATCAAGTAACGATTAGTGTCTGTGTCTGTGTCTAGTGAAGTTATGTAGGGTTCTAAAGAAAAATAAAAAAATAAAAAATAAAATAAATATTCGCACACTCACATTGGAAATCTAGGGATAGTATGTAATTCATACTTACCAACATAGCTATTAATGGCCACAATAGTCAACGCTATCAGGAAAGAAGAAAACAAAACAAAAATATCATTATAATAATTCCTGTACTTTTATTAAATAGAGTTTATTGTGTAAGTGTTTCTTTGGCTTTGCGTTTGGGTTGTATACGAGTGGGTTGTGATAACGTGGTGTGTTTATGTGAAGAAGGAGTTTTGTGTTTTTTAACTGTGCTAGGACGTGTAACTTTATTCAGTGGACCTGTCTTTGTGGTACATGTTGCCTTACTTGTATTTATGTTGTTTCTTTGTTCTTGAGGTTGTATTTGTGTGGTTGCTTGGGTTTTTGGTGGAGATATTACATTATGTTGTGAGCATGTAGTTCTGTTAAGGTTTTCGCGTTTCGGTTGAATACGAGTGGGTTGTGATAATGTGGTGTGTTTCTGAGAAGAAAGAGTATTGTGTTTTTTAGCTGTGCTAGGCCGTGCAACTTTATTGGGTGAGGACGTCTTTGTAGTGCATGTTGCGTTACTTGTATTTATTGCGTTTGTTTGTTCAGGAAGTTGTGTTTGTGTGGTTGGTTGAGTTAAGGGTGGAGATATTACAGTATGTTGTGTGTCATGTTTTGAGTCTAAAGTGCTGTTTAGGCTTTTGCGTTTGGGTTGAATACTAATGGGTTGTGATAATGTCGTTTGCTTCAGAGGTGAATCTCTGATTGTAGTATACAGGGTATTATTATTATTATTATTATTGAGGACTACCTTTAATGGCTGTTGCTCACTTATTAGTGATTCCATATATCGGGTGGTGAGTTGAAACAACGCACCATAGGAATATTTCAACAGTAATTTTTTCATTTCTGAATATTTGCTTCTTTAATTATTTTAGAGATAAAAGTGTGCCGTGTGTTAGTTTTACATGAACTATGTTATTGTCTGTTGAAATCTATCCTCTTCACCATGGTCCGTAAGTATAGGATCTTACAAATACAATGCGTTACCTGAGGCTTTTCTAGATTAACTCAAAAATTTAATTTAAATAATTTAATTTATTACTTATAATATTTCAATGTAACGTCAAAACTTCAATAATTTAACGTCAAGACTTCAACAACCTTTCAATAATGTAATTTGCTCACGCACCGTACTTATAAGTAAGTGGTTTCAATAGCTATCGAGTCAACGGTTTAAATTTAAATATTTTAGTTTGTTACCTGAAGATGATTAACAATCAAAACTTATCGTAACATTTCACAATTATATCTGTTCGTCAACAATTAAATATCCATGGGGAAGGTTTTGAGGAATTGAGTTGTTTATTTCCTGTTAGAAAGAAAGGCGGGAGCTGGTCGAAAACAGTTACTTTTTTCCCTTTTAAGTAGAATACGATGGAAGATAATACCCCCACCCCGCCCGTCACCCAGTGATGTAGAAACGGTGTCGCGCAGGAAGGGTATAGTTTGTAGAAACCAATTCATTTCGATGAGACCTTTCATTAGAACACCATGAAGGATAGAACGTGTATTTACCCCCTCTCCCTCCACCATTTTCAAAATTTTGACATGACATCACTAGTACATACAAAATCTGAGACAAATTAGTGGTCCCACATTTCTTTTAATTCTTAAAAAATGCGCTAAAAATGTTACTATTTCTAAAAATTACTATAAACACGAAACTTTAAATTAGTAAATAAAATATCAAATTGAAGGAACTTTTATACAGTTTTTTATAATGGATGATTTTACCTAAGTATTGCCGTTGGTGAGTTATTTTAAAGAAACCGAAAAAAGTCAGAAATTTTTGCAGATTTTTGACCACAGAAATTTCTCCCGACGTCAGTCGCATTGGCAAACTTGGATTTTTTCTTTCTCTTTATTATTTAAACAATTTTGAAAAATAAAATCTTCTACTGGACTTTTTGTAACCATTTAGCATTTTTACGTCTAATTTGACTGGACTATACAAACAAACTCAACAAATAATTTACACCCCCATATAAACAAACAGAAACCCCCGACTCATCATACAATCCGATAACAACAAACTTGTATTTTAAAGTCACCTTTGTACGAATTGTTAAATATAAAATACCCGTGGAACGTTCTCGTACAGGTAAATCCGCACACATGCATATTACAGCTACACTAATTTGTTTGAACGTCCCATATAATAATCTTAAATCAAAGCTACCCACACATATAGAAATCTATGGAAATGTACCCCTAAATACTGCCCTTTATCCTAAACTAAGACATTTACACCATTATTGCACGAGATGTAGGAAGAACGAAACATAACCCCCATTTTTCTACTTAATGGAAAGAAAAGCATCAAACGCTTACCTTTGAATTAAACGACGAAATATCGAAAGATCCCCATAAATCATGCTGATATAATTGCCATAAAAAATTGGAACTTGGATTTTACAGCCGGCCGGTGTACTCGGGTCCAAAAAATAGAACTTCTTGATTTCATTTCTGGGCTTCGGGTCATCATAAAACGGCTCTACAAATTGAAACATTACTTTTTTTTTTAGAAATACATAGGTCCGGAACTACAATTTCTCGCAAAGTGCGTTCATTTTATAATGTACTTCCTGAATGAAAACGGGTTCTTTGATACACACCTGATTTACTAATTCCTTTCACAGCAATATCATTCGTAGGTATAAGGCCCACTATCTGAAATAGTTAATAATTAAGGATGCTTATATTTTTTTGTGATCTTCAATCGCCCCTGTTGTTGACTAAAACGACCAAGACAACATATATTTTTTACTGTTATTGTTGTAAGAAAAAAACAAGTTTTTCTAGAAACGTCTTGGAATAACAAATAATATGAGAAAAGTGCCGGGATTA